ATTTTTGGTTGTGTTCTTTTTTCTGGTTCATGGCTTAGGCTATTTATAGCCAAAAGCAATATAATATGAAATGAAAGAAGAAAAGCCGTCCAAATTGTAGGCGGACAATTGTTTTTAGGCGCCTTACTTTGACCACATATATACACCGTCCAATTCTTCATTCAATTCACATATATATTACTATTCATAGTCAAACTATGAATAGTAAATGATAAGTTACTGAAATAACCCCTGAACTATTTGCCACTTGCTAATTTTGGAGACAACTTTTCCACAGTTTTGAATCGGATCTTTAGAAGTTTTGGATACGGATTCTCATTAAAACCGGTTTACAATCCAGGAACAATCCAATTTTGGATATGGATTCTACCGATCGCATTAATCAGATCCAGTTTGATCAAAATCCAATTTTGACAAGATTCGGATATTATCGGACCAATTCCCGGGATCCGGTTTTTGTGTAATCTATAAACATAAATATAAAATCCACCTATGGAATCAATATAGTGGTGCTAGAAACCATATTACTTCTAACTACGTAAGAATTAGACGAGTAATTCCTCTAAGAAATCCAACTAAAGTCTTAGGTTGAACTAATTAAAAAACGTGTGCTCTTGTCACTATCATTTGCTTGGCAGCAGATGAAGTAAAACTACAATTTACATGGTTCATTGTTAACCAAAGAGATCAAATTAGGGACTATATATACATCTTGCTGGCAATACTTCCAAAATAAACATTCTAAAAAGTGAAAAGTATCCTGTTTAACATATGATATATGCATCATTTGTCTTCGGGTGTAAAAATAAAGTAATCCCTTATGTCATTTAAGCAATTTATCATGTACCATAACAAAAGAAACGAATTTCCAGGGGTACCAAATAACATAAGAGTGTCTACATGCAAACACTTGCCCTACAAAAGTATTAACCGAGCATTTTGAAACCCAAAATTCGAACTCCACTCCATCAAATATGGAAGAAAAAAAAACAGAATCGCATATAACCCTAAACAGATATATATGATTATGATCTACAGTTATAAATCTAATACAAAAGTATTAGCCGAGCACTAAAATTTGAGATTTCTCATATCAACCAAAATTCTAAACATAAATATCCACCTAGCTAGAAAATAGAAAATAAAAATTTCTGTTTCCAGTTTCCTATCGGCAGAAATAACATGAATGATAACCAAGCCAAAAAACCCGAAGATTTCACTAATGTTAACGAACTTTATAAAAATCCAAAAAAATAAAAATAAAAATAAATTTGTACAGTTCTTGGAATTTTCCGATTGTTTTTTCGGTGTGTGATATTTTGAACACCCCTAAGCAGCATCAATAGCCCCTTCTCCTACTTGTGCTCCCATTAAGTCATCAAACTCATCAATAAGGAGAATAATTACATCGCTTAGCTTAATTAGCTTTTTTAGTCGTCTCTCCCGACCCATGTCTCCAGTAAACATCTGAAGAAGGAACATAAATCACAATTGGCTTAATTGCCATTTAGTTAGGAAGAAAAACAGCAGAAAATATTAAATAAAAAACCCAACTCCTTTCATTAGAATCTATATATGGTACACAATCCATCTCCTAATGCAAGACCATCATCATTATCCACATAAAACAAATACAAACTGCAACCGACCTTCTTCCCATCAATTGTTTCTGGATTAGTTTTTGTAAGTCCTCCAGGAAATTGAGCAACTCTTTCAACAACATGATCCAACTTACCCTGTAAAAAGGAAAAAGAACAGTTGCAATTTTTATTTTATCTGCTTAAAAGTTAAAATCACTCCCATATTGAACACAAGTTACCTCCTTCGCTAGCTTTCCCAAGTTGGTACCATATTTCTCTAGAGTTGGCATCTTGCTTAAAAGTGCAGCACTCTCGTCAACCATTTCAACCATTTTGATCACCTACTCAAGGTGTTAAAGATTGCACATAAGACTAGAGAAGGATTTTTTGCACAGGAAACTAACTATGCCTGTTTCTTTATTTTTTTTACATCAATTCTTGTATGGATAAAATGCTGAATCGGTAGATACACTGTATGTTTTTTTTTTTCATTGTCATCTAAATGTGAATAAATGATTATTTTACTCTTCTATCTAGAGCTAATGTTTAATAAAAACGAGTGTTTAATTGATAACTGTTACAAATTCAAATTATATATACAGCCATTGTATTTCTCTCAAAGATTTTTGTCGTCTTGACATATTTGGAACAAAATTACACACATACCATCAATACTTGGAACAAACACAGGGGAGAAACGATTTGGTAAAATGGTAGGGATAGAAAAATGATGGTCTTAAAAGCATAAACTGACCCTCTTGCACTTAAACCAATTAAGAGTTATTGTATGCATCAAGTCATAAAGAAGTACCCTTTATAATATATATATATATATATATATATATATATATATATATATATATATATATATATATATATA